CAGTTCTTTCCCTGTTATGTTTCAAGGGGGGTTGTTTCTGAGTGTGGACTGGACAAGAGACTATGATCAATTCTCTTTGCAGTGTTTATTGAGGTGTGAAATCTCTCAAAAATAAAATTACACCAATAGATTTCTCTGAAGATTTTGAAATCTTCTAAGAAAAGACATGTGCCAGGAAGATTTTAACCACATTATAGCTGGAAAATGAATCTGTGGTGTTTCGTACCACTTGACAATGAGAACTTGGGCTCTGTATCTTTCGTCATGGCCTGGGAGGGATCTCTGCCTAGAAGTTCCCAGTTTCTAGACGACACATTCTATCTCTATTACAGTTTCCTAAGGGAGCTCTAGAGAGGTAAGAGTTTTTCTTTGGTGGTAGGTGGGTCAGTGAGAGGATGCTTCTCTGTCATGATAAATGGCCCTGCTGGTACACCTGGAAATGGGAAGACTTTTCTAGCACTTGCTTAAATGGTTTCTGCTGCTTTGCAGGTGGATCATATGACACAGCACATCGAGGCCAGTGAACGTTCCATGCAGGACAGGATCCAGAGGCTGGAGACCATCAGGATATCTCTGGAGGAGGTGAGAAAGGATGCTGCAGGCATGTTTGAACACTCATGTAGCAGTGCAAAGAGCAGGCTGCCAGGGGAGCTTTGTGGAGTCTTCCATTGCTCACCTCTGTAAAGATTGTCTTGTGGTCTAGAGAAGAACAGAAAAGAGCAGTATAACAGTTAAAATTATTTTTACTGCTTTGGACTAAGGAAGGAGAAAGTTCCAAGGAGAAACTTCTAAATTCGAATTGAACAGAAATAAGGATTCCATTGAACATGGTGAGAGTTTTACCAAGATTTGACTTCATGGGTTTCCCATGTGGTCTCAAGTAGTGTAGCATATTTCTCCGTATCTATTTTCCCAGCTACATTCAGCACTGCCCTGTCCTATTGCCTTGTTTTGGAAAGCTTTACCTATAACTTGCCCTCATATAAGTGAAATTCTCATTGAATCGTGATGGCAATCTTGGGGGAAGAAAAGGTTTGTCATCTTGACTTGCTTTCACTGCCCCTGAGTGAGAGGGAGATCTGTGTCATGTAGCCTGCTACTGGAAGCTGCTAATGTTTTCTGGTCAGTGTTGCAGTGATGCAGGTTCTCTGTCTGGAATGATTTTTCCATGTTCCTGTGGCAGGAGTTGAGCCAAGTCAAAGCAGCTGCACTTGCTGAGCGAGGCCAAGCAGAGGAGGAGTTACTAAAAGCCCGGAGTCAGGCCCGCTTGGAGGAGGTGAGGATAAGACCTGTCTGTAGCCCTGCCCCTGTGTGAAAGAAGTGATTTGGCTGCCTAACCTATGATTTAGTCTTGGGGAACTGCTATGTAACTCCCCTCTCTGGGTTTCACTGGCCTGCAAATGGTGTGATTGCTGAAGAAGGAGCCTTGAAAAGTCTGATTTGAATTGTCTCCAGTAGTAACAGAACTGATGTGGATACTGTCAAAGCAGGTTTCATTTAAGTTGCCAGCTTCTGAAGCCAACAGCCGGATGTCGATCCTTCCATTTAATGGCAACTTTCATGGGGTGTTCCTGTTTCTCTGGACTCAGAAAAGTTTCTTCAGGTGGCTACTGCTGCTGGACAAATAAAGTCACTGTTTGAATAGAACTTTGTGAAAATGGCAATGAAGTTAATATCCTGTGAAAGAGAACAAGGGATGAGGAAAACACAAAAAAGCTATTAGAATGTTACCTATATGTAACATCCCGAAAGAAAATGCTTCACTGAGTTACAGACATAGAAAAGCTGATGTGTGGGACCCAGCAGTTGCTTAGCTGCACACAGTGGTGCTTCAGAGCCGTTTGGAGTATGAAGGAAGTGAAGGGAGAGCATTGGTTGTGAAGACTGGTGGTGGCATCAAGTGCATCTGCCCAGGACCTGCCTCTTTCTCAGTGAGTCAGTCTCCATCAGTGTCCTCCCTGGCAAGAAGCAGCAGCTTGGGGTCATTCCTATCTGCAAGGAGCAGGGCTGTGTCTGTTATGGCCAAGCTTCGTGCTTGTTCTTCAGTGCCAGTTGACTCAGCCAAGGGTTCACTGTGTTAGGAACAAAAAGGGGAGAATTCCTTCACAGAAGTGGAGTGGGACTGATGTTTTCATTTTCCTTTGTGTCTTACAGCAGCAACGACTTGAACACCTAGAAGAGAAGCTGCGGCTGATGACTGAGTCACGGGATGAAGCTCAGAACTGCTGCCTTAAGCAAAAAGAAATGGTTGCTGAAGCCCAGGCCAGAGCCAAACAGTTGAGCCTGCATGCTGATGGACTCAGGAGGCGGCTGGAGGAACTTCAGCAGGTAATTTGGACTGCAGTAGAGATGGTCACCACAGGGACAGAACAAGTTGCTGAAGTTGTTTGGTCATTCATGGATTTGTCTTTGTGTGTCAGGACCTGAACAGTAAGGAAGAGGAGAAAGTGACAGAAGTGAATAAGGTGAAGGTGGAATTACAGGAGCAGATTGGGCACCTGGAAGCTGAACGCACAGCACAGGATGGGCTGAGAGAGAAGATTGCAGCTCTGGAAAGACAGCTGAAAGGTGATGGATTCTTTCATGCTTCTCAAATGGTAATGCTGAGTTACCCTGCACTGGGTCTGGAACTGAGCTGTGCTTACAGGTAGTAACACCTGCACTTCCTGCCTGTGTGTACACTTATGAGTTGTACTCTCCATCCTGGTGTATTTGCAGGGATTCTTGTCCTCATTTTATAGAGACCAAGACTCAGATAACTACCCAAAGCTGCACAGCAAGCAAAATGTTTGGGTTTCCTGCACAGTGAAGTGTAACATGCTGTCTGTGCAAAACCTCTCATGTTGTCTCATGCAGCTTCTCTCATGTGCTTGTTGACCATCCCACTTCCATTGCCTGTGGCTGTGTCTATAACATGTTCTTATTTATTCTAGGGACACCTTAATTTTGTTTACTAATGCTGCTCTTTTACAGCCTTGTCAAATAATCACCGTGAAGCGCTGCTGGACAAAGAGGGTGAGATCTCTCTGCTGCTGGAGAAGCTGAGAATGAAAGAGGCCGAGATCTCCAGGGTGAGGGAAGAGGAGGCCCAGCGAGCAAGTTTCTTGCAAAATGCCATCATGGCATATGTGCAGGGACCCCCCTTTGGAACCCACAGTTCTAGGAAATGAGAGCATGGCTTAAAGGATCCAAATACCTGCTGTCAGGAGAGAGTGAGCAACTCAGGTACAGCTCCTTCTTCCTAAACAGGACAGTTTTATCAGAGCGGGATGACACAAAGGCTTGCAAACACAGAAAATTGTTCTCGCTCTTTATAAATCTTCTTCCTGACCACATAAAAGGGAGGAGGAAACAACCATCCAGGCTCGAGGGTCTGAATGCATGATGTGGAGCCCTTCCCCTGAGCTGCCACAGTGTTTAAAGTATTTTCTGTGTCCTTTTACACAGCACCAGCCTGTCAGCACACCCTGTTGCTACTGGGGGGTTGGTTTGTATGTTCCCTGGCAGAGTCCTTCTGCACCATTCGTTTGGATGCCAGAGCTGTTCACAGTGAAACCTGATAAAAGGCAACAGCAGTGTTCACAGCTCCTTGTGGGCAAGAGCCATTTGGGGTCTTGAAACTTCTGGAAGCACCGTATCTTACACATCTGTGCTTTTTCACCCAATGCTTACAGATGGAAGCAAAGTCTGACAGGGCCCTCTCTGGCTCATTTACCCTCCCTGCCGTGGCTCTGGCTGTGTTGGTGGGCAGTAGATTTGCGTTCAGCATGGACAGAAACAGCTGTGTAGAGGGGCTGTGGTGCAGTGCTGTCCATGTCCTTGTGGGACAGCTGGGCTTTGGCTGTGGTTCAACTTCTACAACACTGACTGGCAGAGAAGGGGCCAGTGGGTGATTGGGGGTCAGCATCTGTGCTTCTTCACTATGAACTGCAGCCCTTGGCTGAAGATGTTGTGGCCAATATGCAACAGGATTTGATTTCACTGTGACAAATGGCAAAACTGTCCTCATGGCTTCCCAGGCCCCTGAAGCTGAGTGCTGTGGCCTTACCCTGGAGAGGAGCAATGCTTCTGTCTCAAAACAGAGGAGTTGCCTCTAAGAGCATAAAGGGAGAGAAGGTGATTCCTCTCCTGATAGCACAAGGCCTTGTGTGACCTGGAGAAAGGGAAGGGTTGCGGGAGTCCGAATTGGAGAAAGGGGCCAGCAGTCTTGAGAGCCTCCTGTGAGTTCCTTCAATGAGTCTGGGGCAACAACAATGATCTTGCAGTACATATTTTAGGAGACAAATGGAAAATGAAAGTTTCTGTGTGGACTGTTTGGTTTGTGTTCATGATTTTTTATACTGGGTTTTGCTCTGCTTTTTTAATAAAGAGCTTTTGCATTTTGCCATAAGACTGGACAACGATGAGCTGGATGTTTGGCTGATGTGGAGGGCGGGGCTGTCTGCTGTGTTACTCTCCTGAAAACCCTGCCAGCCTGTCCTGGAGCTAAATGGCTGTTACAGGTGGATAAGCTGGGTAAGGTTTTGGTTCTGGACTAAGGTAAAAGCAGAGAAGCTGGGAAGGCATTCCCCAATCACGAAGAGCGAGTCTGTGGTGACAGCTACGTCATCTGTAAGGGAAAAGCAAAGCCTGTTGTTTTCAGACAGGGCCACTGCAGTGGGCACCTCTGTTCGAGGTGGGGGAAGCCACAAGCCGTCCTCCTGCAGAACTTTACCTGCAGCTCCTGGTTGGTGACAGCGAAATCTGCACCTACACCGTAACCAGGTTTCAAAGCTTCGTTCTTGAGCCGGTGGCCCCCGGTGCGGGAGCCGGCCCCGAGCAGGCCCCGCCGCCTGTTGCCCAGGGCGGGGCCGCGGGCCGCCGCTTCTCCTCCCCCCGCGTCCGCGGGCGGAGCCCCGGCCGAGCGGCGGGGCGAGGCCTGTGGGCGGGGCGGGCTCGCTTGGGCTCGGCTGCGGCTCGGCTGGGCTCGGCTGGGCTCGGCTGGTCGGCTCGGCCTCGGCCCCCCGCCCCGCCCCGCGGGCGGTCACTGCGCGCGCAGTCGCGGCGCCGCCATCGCGGCAGATGCAGGCGATCAAGTGTGTTGTGGTGGGCGACGGGTGAGTGCGGCGGGGCCGCCCCGGCCCCCGCAGCCCCGCACAAAGCGGGACCGGGGCCCGGCGGGCGCGGAGGGAGGGAGGATGAAGGGAGGGAGGTCCGGCCGGCCGGCCCCGCCCCGCGGCTCGGGAGAGCCGCTCCGCCGGCGGGAGGCCCCGCGCCGGGCGGCGAGGCCCGACCCGGCCTGGATCGCCGCGGTCCCGGCTCAGGCGGGGCCGGCGGGCCGAGCCGCCGTCGTGGCCCCGGCGGGAGATCGGGCCTTGCGGCGGCCCGCGCAGTCCTGCCCCGCTCCGTCCTTAGTTGATGAACTTGAGTCTCGGTCCCCAGGCGCTCCCCAGCCCCATCGGGCTGCCTGGGTAGCAAACACCGGCTTCTCTTGGGTTTTACGTCTATCTCCTCGTTGGTTTAGGTGCCCATATTTCGCTATTTTTCATTGTACATGTTTGATTCATCACAGAGTCCTCCCGAAAATCTTCGCAGGTTCCTCTCATATGTCCTTTTGTTGTTTGTTCCGAGGTGAAGTGTGTTGCTCTTTCTGATTTTATCATGTGCCCCTTGTCACCCTTTTTGCTCTTTTCTTTAGGCTCTTTTTGAATTCCTTTTTCTTAGAACACATCTGTGTGCAAGATGCAGGCATGCACTAGATTTATGGTACTTTGTAACTTTCCTAGCTCATCCTGCATATTTTTCCTCACAATTCCAGTTTACTTTTCTGATCACCACAGGAAGCTCAGAGTTGAGGTACTGAGACCTAAATGTGAACTGGTCTTAGGCAGGGACTGGTCTTTCCCCTTTCCCAGGCATGTCACCACCTCAAATACACATTTGGGGTAAGGCCTTCCAGGTTCCAGTCTGTGGGGGCTAAAGAGGGAAAGAGGAGAAAGCCGACCACCAAAACAGCCTTATTGTGGAGGAGAGAGGAACAACTGGGAGCACAGGATGTTGTAAATGGACTTCAGCTGAAGGTTTCCTGTCTCGTGTTTTGGTTTAAGACCAAATAGACAGTGTAGACTAAATCATCCTGGTGCATCCAGGGGACTGTGTACTCTGCTAGAGTCTCTCCCTTACTCCTGAAGTCTTTCCTTATGTTACTCCGATTACAGAATTGGGTAGGGGATATGCAACTCTACTGACTATTCAGCTTCTCTCAGGCACCTCACAGCCAGCTTTCCCTGGCACTCATGGTCTGTTTTTCTGGAAGGTTGTCTGCAGTTCACAACTTTCTCAGTGATAAAGAAGTTGCTCACACTGCTGGTACTCCTCTGTTCTTACAACAAAGCTTTCCCTTAGGAAATGTACAGGGCTGGCTAAAGTCTGTGTGCTTACGCTCTTGCCAGCCAGACCTGGCCCTTGCTACTCCCACTAGCCTTCAGCAAAGCCCTAAGCTGATACTTCAGCCCTCTAAATTGATCTCTTTCCAAACTGACAGTGGTCAATTTTAAAGTTCATTTTTGTTTATGGATACTTATTGTTTTCCCTTTGTATTTATTGATACTAAATTCCTGTATCTGAGGAGCTTGTAGAGTTCTGTGTTGTTGCATGTTTTTTCACCTGTTTACCCGTTTTGCTAGACCATTATGGATCTGTTGAGCCCACAGCCTTAATTTATTCCTTCTCTTGGTTCCTGGAACACTGTTTTGCTTGGTGTCTTGCTGAGGCTGAATGGATGGGGAAAAGGAATGGGAGAGAGCAGGGTCAGTGAGTGCTCAGGCAGGGTGCACATTAAGAGTTCAGGCCTGGCCCCTGCCAAGTAGGGAATTCCAGTCTGCTACAGGTTTGTTTTCTCACACAATAACCTTTTGCCTAACGTTGTATTTTGGAGTTGGGGGGGGAAGGGTGAGTTTTACTGCCTCAGTGCTACCTGCTGTACCCTTCTTTATGTTCCTCGCTCTTATCCTCTACAGAGCTGTTGGGAAGACCTGCTTGCTCATCAGTTACACCACAAATGCCTTTCCTGGAGAATACATCCCCACTGTGTGAGTAATAACTTTGGGCTCAGTTGCTTTTTGATCTGTATGCATGTGTGTGTAAAAGTTGTTTTTTAAGTGAGGAGGTGGCTGTCCCAAATCAGACTGTGATGATGCTGGAGGTGTGGCTGTGTATGTGAGGAAGGCAGACTGTCCCCACTGGAACTGTGCTGCAGTACCCTTTCCTGATTCACTGCCTTCTTGGATTTTGTATAGAGATGTGAAGGTCACCACAAAATTGTCACTGATGAGGGACTCCTCCTTGGCAGGTTTGATAACTATTCTGCCAATGTGATGGTAGATGGAAAACCAGTGAACCTGGGTCTCTGGGATACAGCAGGGCAAGAGGACTATGACCGACTGCGGCCTCTTTCCTACCCACAGACGGTGAGTGCTGGGCTTGGACTGGCTTGTAACTGCTCCCTCTCTGAGACAGGGAGGCTCCCAAGGACAGGCATGCTTCTTTCCATTGAGGAAAGTCCAAGTTGCTGCAGCTGTAGCCATAATTATGGTTGTTTAAGAAGTATCACAGCTGATTTTCTCTGAAGAGATTGTCCTGTTCTAGTCCCTGCTTTGAAATGGTCTTTGAACAGTTATGGGTGCCCCAGGGAGGCTCAGGTGAAAGGAATGGCATGAGGCTGCTGTGCAGCTGAGCCAGTTCCATGTTTCCACTCTCCCTTGGCAGGATGGCTCACTGTAGTGCTGCACTAGAAATTTTCTCCACGTAGCCATGCTGCCAGGGTGAAGCCCTTAGCACCGTTAAGATGTTTGTGGCCGCAGGCTTTTAACATGCAGAGCTCAGCATTGTGAAAGAAGATGTAGTCATACACTCAAGGTCCATTCCTTTCCTCTCTGAATTAGCTTAACACCTTTAATGGGCAAGAATTTCTTATAGCCACAGTCCTTGCTTGTGCGAGGACATTGTCCTCTCTCAGGATCCCTCTCCCCTCTCCCTCAATTCTCTTTAGCTGTTTCTTTCTGCACAGCTGACCCTCTTGTTTCTGCACAGGATGTTTTCTTGATCTGCTTCTCCCTCGTGAGTCCAGCCTCCTTTGAGAATGTCAGAGCTAAGGTAAAGTATTCTCCTCCTGGGTGAAACAGTGGAAGGGAAGAACCAGTGAGGTCCCCTGCCCCACCTGGCACCACACTTACAAGCCCAAAATTTCAAGCAGTCATGTCTTGGTGAGGGAAGGTCATAGTCTGCAGGTTTTAAGCGGGGCCTGCTTTTTATTCATGACTTCTGTAGCTAAGTTACTGCCTTTTTGAATCTGCATCCTAAGGGGTGTTCTAGAAACTAAAATACAGTTAAGGGAAGCACTGTGTGCAGAGCTGACGGGCACTGTCTGTCATGATTCTGTGTCTCAGCATGTTCATTATTACATTTGCACCGATCTCTTTCTGCAGATATTCAGAGCTGTAGGCAGCAGTATCCTCTGCAGGTGTTGACACCATGTCAGCTAGTAGTAAACCCCTCATTCCCAATAGTAGGAACACATCCTCATGGTTGTGGCCACTGCTGTAGCTACTTTTCTTATCGTGTCTCTCTGTTTCAGTGGTACCCTGAGGTCCGACACCATTGCCCAAACACACCTATTATCCTGGTGGGCACCAAGCTGGACTTGAGGGATGATAAGGACACCATCGAAAGGTTACGTGATAAGAAACTGGCTCCTATCACCTACCCCCAAGGCTTGGCCATGGCTCGGGAGATCGGTGAGTCTCCTGTGCTGGCAGATCTCTGTGGCATTGAGGGGGTGAGGGACAGTGTGTGGTGGTAGAACCAGAGTGGTTGAACTGGAGCTCTCTTTCCCCAGGGTCAGTAAAGTACCTTGAGTGCTCTGCCCTGACACAGCGGGGCTTGAAGACGGTGTTTGATGAAGCCATCCGGGCTGTGCTCTGCCCACCGCCCGTGAAGAAGCCTGGCAAAAAGTGCACCGTGTTTTGAGGGCTGTGGCCTCGGTGCTGGCTCAGCATGTTGTCGTCCTCTGACAGATTGCGTATTAGCTGGGTGTTTCTGGAGGGGGCTGGGATGTGTAGGGCCCTTCATCATGTACGAAGTCAGTGTTTTTTAAATGTCTCTTTGATTTAACGTCAGTGTTGATGTGAAGGGGCAGTGGGGGCAGGAGACCAGCTGGGGGCTGTACAGCCCCCAGGGGAGGTACAATGGGGAAGGCAAGGTAGCTCCTTCGGGCAGCAGGCTGTTTTGGCTCTCCTGAACTCTAAGCTGAAAGGCCTGAGACATCTGTCCTGTCCTGGAAATGCCTGTTTTAAACCTGCAGGTAAAACAGGTGGTGAATATCCTGGTGGGAGTGGGGAGGGAGCTGATTTCAATGGTGCTGAGAGACAACAGCAGCTGGGAGGGTGGTAGGGTCTCCTTGCCCAGCCTGCTGTGGCTAACAGTTAACAAACTGGTGCTCTAGCAGAATGTGCCTGAGACTGTTAAAAAAATCATAACCAGCCCTGGAAGGGGTCGAAGTGAAAGAGAAGCTGAAGAACTAATCATTAGGTGCTTTATTGGGTACTAGCCAAACTGTGCATGAAACAGCTCTGTGCAATCAATGCATTTGCCTTTTTGTGTGTGCACACCCTAGGACAGCATGGTGCTGCTCCCCCCCATCAGTCTTTAGCAGGGCCTCCCCCCAAAATCCAGTCTCTGCAGAGCAGGGCTGGGGTTGTTGCCTCTATTTTGTTTTTTTCTACTAAAGACAGCAAAGGAAGCAATGAGAAGTCTGCTAACTTCTTTCCCTTCCCACTGAAAGTGCAGACAGGCTCTATGGTTTTGGATGGAACAGGGAGAGCTTCTGAAGGGTTGTGGGGGGGGGAACAGGGTTGGAAGAGAGGTCCAATTTTTAATCATCATGTAGAGTGACAAGATAAAACCTTATTTGGTGCAATAAACATCCTCCATGACGATGTATGTGAGCTTTATTATATAGCAGCCTTCCAAAGGTTATTTTCTGCCTCACTTCTCCTACAGGCTCCAGCTCTGCTGCCCCTCCAGCAAGATTATGTCTGTGTCATTGTTTTCTATCCAGTTTACATCTATGCAGTACCAGTAGGGAAATTAAGGCCGAGGTGAAATGCAGGGGCCATCTTAGGAGACAAGAAAGCCCCCATCAACCATCAGTGAGCTGCCAGTTGTCATAGCACTCTTGCCACTCAGCAGGAAGAGAATGCTGTTCACCACATCATCCACCTCTGCAATCAAACACAGAGAACATCTAATGCACACCTCAAATTGTATCAGAAAAACAAGCATCCAGAGAGGTCTGCCTTGGACCTCTACATGTAATTAGAGCACGGAAGTATTTCTGCTTCCAAACTGTGCTTGATGCAGTGTCCAGGACAGCATAGCTGAGAGCTGGACATTAAAAAGTCCTTGTGATCAAATGATGCTTAGTTCACAGCAAACATCCTGTCAGATTTATGAACAATAGAGTAAGTTCATTTCACTTGTCCCAAGATGAGGAGGCTGTAGAAGAGGGGAAGAGAAGGTTGATTCTCACCCAGTCCTCGTCAAATACTTCAGGAGTTCAGCCAGAAGGCATTCAGCAGAGCTGTGACTTTGCCCAAAAAAGCAGCAAAGTAACTCTGGCTGTTCCGTGAGAGGGAAGGCTTGAGACAACATGAGAGCCCAGCCTGGGAACAGACCTATCCCACTGACCTGCAAACTTTCCCAGGGGAATCCGATTAATCATGGCAGCGGATTTCTGAGGGTCACTCCAGTTAATTCTCCCCATGTCAGTCATAACCACGGTGGGGTTCACAGTGTTCACCCTAATCTGGGACCAGCAGCAACAAACAATCTAAGCAGGCTCCTCTGAGGAAACGCTCAGGTTCAGCTTTCACACCTTCTCTCACAGACTCCTACCTTGTGGGGTCCCAGTTCCATTGCCATTACCTTGGTCAGCATATCCAAAGCACTTTTTGTGGAACCTTTAAGGGAAGGGAAGAACGGGAGGCGTTAAGTGCATAACAAAGCACCTGGTCTGGAACAGACCGGGACATTTCACTGCTCTGAACTGGGAGCTGGCAGCTTGGTGGCTGTGGGTCTCCAGCTGGTCAGAACTGAGAGGGACACTGCTGAAGCTGCACATACTTACAGTAAACGGCGTGATCCCTCAGCGCACGCTGCGAGGCCTGGCTGGAGACATTCACAATAGCCCCTGCCACTCCCTGCGCGATCATCTGCCGAGCAACGATCTGGGAGGGGGAAGGAGAGAAAAAAAAGGAGTGCCAGAATCCTAGCAAGAAAAATCTATGGTAGCCAAAAGAGCAAAAACATCTGGAGGAAGCAAGTCCTCCCTGCCTCCTGCTTACAGGAGAGTCACAGTGTGAAGGGTCTGTACGGGCAAGTTGTCAGGCTGACTTTGGATTGCATCCCTTTAGTCCCCACACTGGACACTTATCTGCGCTATGTACAACAGTCACTGCTATTCATGGAGACAGCAGCAGTGACAATTCTTCCTCACCTGGGAAACGTGAAGCACAGCCCCAAAATTCACATCAAGAGACCTACAAATAAAATCAAATTTAAACGTTACAGAGTGGTTGTAGGCCAGGCCAGACAGCTGTTTTAAGAGGCAGCAGAGGACAAGTGCTGCTGGTCTCTTGGAAACACTGGTGATACTATGACACGTGATGAGCTGTCGGCCGAGCCAGGATGCTCAGGAGTGCTCTCGGCAGTGAACAGTCCATCAGCCACAGGCGTGGCACCGCCAGGGGAGGTGCAGTTGTGCACTGGCATGTTTCCCTCAGGACTCTGTCCTTCATCAGCCTAATGGAGTTTCCTCTGACAAAGTTTAAACACTAAGCCCTTGGGCCTCAGCCAGTGGCAACTCTTGGGTCAAGCAAATCTTTCACACAGCTCTAAAGAGCAAATCTGTTGTAAGGTGGGTAGAGGCAGTGTTTCTTCTGTTTGCCATATCGTCCGTCCTTTGTCAGGCCAGTTCTGCAGAATGGTCTTAGCAGAATCCATACCTTTTATGTTCGTCACAAACAAATCCTTTATTATAGACTCTCAACGGATGTTTTTAACATAGGGTCAAAGCATGACCCATCCTCTCAGAATGATGTGGACTCACCCATAGCCTGTATCCTAAAGCTCACTCCCAGACAAACTATGGAGCTTTTCAGAGAAAAAGATGCCATGTTATTGTAGTAAGCAAATTTAATTTCCCACTGTGACCGTTTTATGCTCCCTTACCTGGCTTTGTCTTCTCTGTTTCTGAATTGTCTTAGTGACAACTGCCTTTGACTTTAACTGGGCCGAGTTGGAACTAGACTGGAAGCTCTGAGCTTGATGAGCAGCAAAGGCACTCACCTCCTGGGCCAGTGGGACGGCAGGTGCACCCCACCATTCTGGAGGTGACACTGCAGGTTCTGGCTACTGAGAAACAGGCGTAATACCCAGTGTTTGGTTTCCTTTTGCTGTTTATAGGGGGAAAGGTGATTACGTAAGGAATGAACAGACAGTAAAGAAAAAGGACATATGGAGTAACAATCAACTGACATTTGGCATTTCTAAAAGCGTGTGTGTCAGCCTGTCTGGTGTCTGTGCACCAGCTGCTGTCCTTTCTAGTTGCTTCTCGTCTCAAGACACCTGTTTCTGAAAAGTTCTGCCACCGTTTTTGACGTCCACGGCTGTGCGACACCTTGGCGGGGCAGACTCGGTCCCAGAGCCTCCGCCGGGGAGGCCGGGGCCAGGCACTCACCTCTGCAAGGCCTCCCGCGTCACCTCCAGGAAGGGCTGCAGCTCCGCCACGGCCGCGTTGTTCACCAGCAGCTCGAAGGGCCCCGCCGCGCCCA